GGAATGATTGATTAATTGGATAATGGATGAGGAGCATAGAACTTATTAATGAGGTTGGTTTAAAATTTTACCCAAATGTGTTTCCTTATTGTTAAAAGGAGAATGTAATATTATCTCTTAAGAATATGTTGAATTAAGTAGATTCAAGGTACGGAAGTACAACTAGAATCTTAAACACATTAAGATAGTAGGTGTCTTTGTAGTTTAAGAATGGTTTATATTATGATGAATGGTTATGAGGTTTGAGAAAGGGAAGGAGCAGTTTTGAGGAGATGTACCATATTGTACTGTAAAGTACATATACAATGGAGTTTGGAGATGTGAGATGGTTAATATTAGGAATTATAATGATTGTCTTTTAGGAAATGCTAATCAGGGTGTTGTACTTAGAAGTTTAAAAGTTTAAAGGCATTTAACACTAAAAGAGAAATATGTAAGATATAGAGCTTGTGTTTCTTTTAATCATTTTAGAGTTGAGGCATAAGTTAATTTATTGATTTTGTTGGATTATCTTTGTGTGAAGGAGTTTTATTCATGATATTAATATATTCTTACCATGGGTTGTAATGGTCAATTCTAGGGAGAGTATTACCCATACAAATTGTCTTATGTTTGATGGTTCTTCTACAAGAATGTCTTAGGTTAAAGATTAAAGATAGGGATCTATAATGGAATTATATTTTGTAGAAGTGTTATGTTGATCTCATGCATGATATATTGTGAAGTTTTAAAGATGGTTTCCTATTAATATGTATATAAATTTAGCTCATCAAATTCCCCCAAACTTAAGTTTTACTCGTCCTCGAGTAAAATAAAAAGACAAAAGAAACAAAAATAAAATCTAACTCACTTTCGTAGGAATCATGATTGCACTTAGCATGTGCAACAAGCCTTTAAACCCCTAGATCACCCTAGTGGACGAGTTGTGTCTCGTGAGGGTTTACAGTGGATCTACCCACAAAATCCCAATGCAAAAAATGCAATTATATGATATGTATGCAAAGAAAATTTAGGAATTAAAGTTCAATTAGAGGCAAATTCTCAAATATTCAAAAATTTTCATATGCTCACTTAAAGTAAAATACTCCATCTTATTCTTCACACCACTTGTTAAAAGATTTAGCCCATGAACACTTAGTGTGTGTGTGTGGAAATTCATAGTAAGAAGTTTCGAGTTTAGACCTTCACACCTTAGCACTTATTACTATCTTAGGCTGCTCGAGTGATAAGCTGCTCGAGTTTCCTTAGGCTTTCTAAGTTACCCATGTAACGAGCTTTTTGTTAATGACTCCCAAACCAGTTGGCTTTAGGGCATTAGGTGAAGAAACACCCCTAAGAACATACTTACTCAAGTAACAAAGGCCACAAAACATTCAACTTCTCTTCTTCTTCTTTTTTTTTTTTTTTCTTCAGCCATAAAACACATTCTTCCTTAAGTTATCACTCGTCTTTTGACGTGAATACCAACATTTGTGATGAAAGCACCCGGTTACTCAACAAGTCATAAACTCAAAGTGCTTTGCATACTCATATTTCAAGTCGCCAGTTGACGTGAAAATTGACATGGGTTTCATGCCTAACCCCCAGTTACTAAGCAACCAGAAACATTGGAGTAGAAATTAATAACTCTTTTGTGTGTTGGCTTTTTTTTCTTTCTGTTGGTGCTTTTTAGATGCTACTAAGTCTTCTCTCTAAACTTCTCACTTGTGCTTAAATAGAATATAATACTCATGAACTTAAACTTCATCACAATGGTGTTATTTTTCATATTTGTATCTCCTCTAAGATTAAAAGATTTTAAAAGCTCTAACACAAGAATATTCAATTCCTTGACACTAATTGGACCAATTCCTAAAAAAAATCCCTAATTTCTAAAAAAAAAAATGTATGTTATACAAATATGAATGCAAACTAATGGATGCCTAAAAATGTATCTCTCCCCCAAACTTAAATCAAACATTGTCCTCAATGTAAAACAAAAGTAAGAGAAAAGAGAAACTTCCCAGGTTTTGCACTTGAAGACTTAAAGTTGAAGTTTTGAAGTTGAGTTGTCTTCATTTAGAAGAGACTTCTAGCATGTGAATTTCCATAATCTTGTCCCTCAAACTTGTTCAATGACCTGGCCAAAATCAAAGAACAACAATTTATGCATTAACCTAGGCCATAAAGAGAAAAAGAAAAAAAATTAAAAGAAAATTTGAACTATAAAAGAAAAATAAATTAAAGAAAAGAAAAATTTTATGCTTGGGTTGCCTCCCAAGAAGCGCTGAATTTATAGTCGTTAGCTAGACTTTCTACCACTCCAAGGTGGTTTTGGATCAGGTCGTAGGGCATGTCCTCTTGTTTTCTTGAATCTTGGCTTTCTTGCCCTTAAATTGAATCCACCATAAGATTTTCTCCAATGACTATTTTGAGGTGGTTTGGGTTTAGGCCAGTAGATGTGCCTTCCCAATTCTTCTAGGAGTGCCCCCTTTGATTCCAAGGAAGATGATGTGTTCAAGCAATTTATGTATTTTTTGATTGGGTTCTTTTCTTGAATAAGGTAAATCTCAAATGGATCCTCATAAGTGTTTTTCTACAAAATCTCATCAACCATATCAATAACAAAATAATCATTAAAATCAGATTTGGTTAAAGGAGACTCCTCATTGAACACTTCAAATGACACCTGAGCTTTTTCCTCTTCCTCCTTAGGGACATCCTCTTGTTTAGTTTCTGCAGGCATAATTTCCACTTCTTCAAGTTGTCCTTCAATCTCCAAGAGTAAAGTGTTTACCTCTTCTTCTTGATTTTTCATTGTTGCACTAAATAACTCACCTTGTATCTCTTCAGCAACTAAGTTGAGCAAATGACTTGATTGGACCTCCAGATTTTTATTCAAACATGTCTCCTCTTTTGGAGCTTGAAACCCTGATTGTGGCTCCAATATATCTTCATTATTCCATGAGGTGTTTGGATCAAAATGGCATGTATTGGGATAAGAATTATACTG